CCCGTGCCACGTGGTCCGCGGCCATTTTCCGCCCGTGCCACGTGGTCCGCGGCCATTTTTCTGCCCATGCCACGTGGTCCGTGGCCATTTTTCCGCCCTGCTGCGTGGTCCGCGGCCGTTTTTACGCCCTTGACGCGTGGTCTGTGGACGCCGGAACGGATTAACCGTAATTACATTGAGCCTTATGGGAAAATTTGCTTCAGGTTGCGAACAAATTGGGTTGCGACCAGAGTCACGGAACGGATTAAATTCGTAACCCGAGGTACCACTGTATAGTTAAAACAATTATTTTCCATTGTTTTCCTTTTCTGTCATAAATGATTATGGTTTGGTCACATTGTTTAGAGGCCTTTTCAGGGCTGCATCCAAAGCTGTTGTGCTTCTTGAGCTTCAGGCTTTGCATCCTTGTTTTAGAGAATTGACTCTTCAAAACTCCTATGACAAATTTTCCTCACTTAATTCCTGCCCACTGTCATGGATGACAACCCCCATCACTTGCAAACAGCACGACTATTTGTTGTGCCTGGCTGGAAATGATGAGAGATGCAGTCCACACATCTGGAGGACATTAAGTTAGCAAAGCCTGCTAGATAGTATTTAGAAACACTGATAACACATTGGCATTACTTGAATTATTGCACTATTTACAAGCAGGACTGGTGTGATGAAGGAAGAAAACTGCCATTTAGTTGATTATTAGATTTGCACCAGAATCAATGTATTGCCTAGATTTTCTTCCATAGGCTCCATAATGTCTTAGTTCTATATCTCTGTTGAACATTTTCACTGCAAACTTTCAATAGCAGCACTTTCATTTGCTTTTTGCTCATATTATTTTAATTCCTTGGTTATAAAGCAGGATTTCAACTTAGGCTTTTTGTTGCCATACTGGATGTTGTATTTCACATTCAGCAATCAAGATATTGATTCTTTGCTTTTATGGTCAGTTCCAATTAAATTAGTTGAATAGTGATACTCATTTGAATATCCAATTAATAAACCATACATTTCCATCAAAGGATGTAAAAGAACCCAAATGTTTCCCGCACACACTGTTTATAACATGTGATACAATATTAGCTGAGAGGAACCGATATAATCAAAACCTTACCTAAGCATTGGCCTGAGGCACGATCCATCTCAAACCCATTTGAGCACTGTTGCTAAACAGAAAAGAAAAAAGACTCAGACAGTGAACATTTGGACGAATGCAACATTACAGATCAAGAGGGAGCATCATACTTTTCTCTTTCCCTTGGCAGCAAAAGGCATGAGAAAGATGATCATTAGCTGAACAAAAGCCAGCAAGGTGAGATGACAGATCATTTTACTAGAGCATCTACTTCTGGTGCAGTCCATGATTCTTCTTTTCGTAAGAGCTATACATGTTCTTTATATTTGGTGAAGTTTACAATGAAATCTAATGTGTTATTTCTCTCTTCCCCCCATCCCAGCCCACATGTAATCTTTTGCCTTTTTTCACACACAGTCTGTATCTCACCTGTGTCTTTCCATGACTAATAAGGCAGCCAACAGCCATGAAAATGGGCATTAACCTGCAAGAGGTATGAGAAAGTTATTATATGTACACTCACAATGGGGATTTGAAGTAAGTAGAAACCAGTTGTTTTTTAACACAACAGCACAGCTTTCAAAATTACATGAGAGGAAAGTATGGCTAAAGCAAGAGTGGAAATCCATGATCTTCTCATGTGGATGAACCAGAGTTCCCAAGCAGCATGATAAACGTTGCTGATATATGTAGTGGAACAAACTTGGAGGAACACAGATTCCCCAACCATGAGCTAAATGCAAATCATCTCAGTACTGCATTCTGACAATATATGCCAATGCCTGCAATAATTTACAGCTAACATGGCAGAATAGAGCCAGTTTGTGTAGCTGACAGCCAGTTTGGTGTAGTGGTTAAGGCACCAGGCTAGAAATTGGGAGACCAGGAGTTCTAGTCCCACCCACAAAGTGATCTGGGTGACCTTGGGCCAGCCCCTCTCTCTCAGCCTTAGGAAGGAGGCCATGGCAAACCACTTCTGAAGGACCTTGCCAAGAAAACTGCAGGGACTAGTCCAGGCAGATGGCAGGAGTCAACACTGACTCGAAGGCAACAACAACAACAATAATGGCAGAATAACAGACTGAAATCAGGTCTCAAATAGCCAGAAGAATTTCCAGAAACAGACAGCCCAGGGGCAGAGTATACACAGTGTGCTCCCGTATCTGAGGAACAATGAGCTCCAACAGAACAGCCTCCTGTAGCAGTGCCCTCTAGAGGTATTAGGACTATAACTCTCAAGTGTCCTGTTGGTCAGGAATTCTAGGAGTTGCAGCCTTAGCCCCTCTAGTGGATACCACACTGAGGAAGGTCGCAGGAGAAAAATGGCTGCAGTTCAGATGAGTTTTCATCCTGTCCCTTCCAGCTGTTTTTTCTGTTCCAAGTGGTCCACTCACTGCATTTTTTTTCACCAACGAAAAATCCATAGTTCACCACTCTACAGGAAGACAGCAACTATTTGTGGATGAGGACCGAGGACAACAGAATCTGAGCAGAGGAAATGGCTGGGGATGCTGGAAGTTGTAGTCCCAACATAATGGAGGTGCCCGACTGGGAAGACTTTCTACATCACCCATCATATCCTGCTGTGCTTTTTCTCTGTCTTAAAAATCTTTTCAGAGAAACAGTGCAAATCCAAATGCAGACTGCATATCCCAAAGGAAGATTCACTTCACAGAGCAAAGGGAAGGAAAAACAAAACAGTGGCATAAACAACAGCCAGTGTCTAATTCAACAGGAAATTGCAGCCAATCTGGGCACCTTGACAAGCATATTCACATCACACCTATGTCTGCAAACATACAGTATGTGGATTATAGTCACATCTCACAAGAACTTTGGGTGTATGCACGACTGGAACATATGAAGATAAATAATTACACTTCTAGAGCAGGAAAAAGTTCTACTGAACCCAGAACCTTGTTTCCTATCATGGCCAACCAGCTGCAGCCAGAAACTCCATAAAAACAATTAGATGACAATGAATTGCCTTCTCTCAGGGCTGTTCTTCTATGCCATTCAGATCATGGTTTTAAAATAGAAGTCCCATTTTCTACTGAACCCAGAACCTTGTTTCCTATCATGGCCAACCAGCTGCAGCCAGAAACTCCATAAAAACAATTAGATGACAATGAATTGCCTTCTCTCAGGGCTGTTCTTCTATGCCATTCAGATCATGGTTTTAAAATAGAAGTCCCATTTAGCCATTCTGCCATTAAATCTTTCCTCCTGAGATGGAAAAGCTCTGTATTAAAAATGTTACTTTCACATTCCTATTAGTTGTGTCAACTACTTGACAGGGAGTCATTTTCAGAGGTATTAAAAGAAAAAGCCAGATGGGCCACACCTGCAGGAAAGTACTATAAGTCTAACAGCATGTAACTGAAGGTGCCAGATATCTTTCTTCTTATTTTTTGTACCCTTTCCTCTGTTATGTCTCCTATTCAAAATCTAAACTGTACATTCTTGGGGGCAGTGATCTTTCCTTTACGAGACTCCCAAAAGAACGCAAAGCACAGCTATAGAAATAGTAAATAGCAATAGAAAATCCATCAAATCTTTCTTATCATTTCAGTGTCTTGATTTCCTCTTTTTTCCCCATAAAACATTTTTTCCTGGTTTGCAAAGTAAGAGAAACGTCCTTCTATAAGAGTTCAATCTGGAACTATCTTTTCAAGATATTTATCTTCACGGGAAAAAATAACAGACAAAGTATATGATCTGTCTGTACAGTTCCCTCAGGAGAAATTGGGTTAGCCCACAGATTATTAGCGAAAAATATTTTTAAAAACATTCCACTGCTATAAAGTGATTTTGCTGTTGGATACAATAAATGTTGATACACTTCTGCACAGAAAACTTTTCATAGACTCTGTAAATGGCTCCAGTGAACAGCTGAATTCAGTACAAAGAGGCATATTGTCAGAAGTTAGATATGCGTAATATTAAAGAATAAACTTATTCCTCCCCCCTTGCACAGTCTCTTACAAGTATAATAGGATGCATAACTTAAGCAGCTGACTCAGAACTGCATTCAGCAAACTATCAGAAAAGAAACAAAATAATGTAATGCAGAGAACATACCTTTTAAATGCTGTCATGTCCAAAACTGATGAATAAAGCCAAGGAGGTAAAACAATAATGCCCGTACAGCTGAATATCTAAAAATACTTTTGTACATTAAATCTTTTGCTAGAACTTCAGACCTACCATCATTTATTTTCCAGAGAATGAAAGACCAAATCATAGAGAAACAGGGAGAGAGAAAGAGAGACAGAAAGAATGAGGGGAAGAAGGGGAAGGAAGGAGGAGGGAGGGGAGGAGAGGGAAGGGAATCAGAGTGGTCTGCTCCTCCTCAGACACTGGAGTGAATACAGCAAAAGCACCTGGTTTTGCTTAGTTTTCTTCTGTAATTCAACTTTAAACCAATTGGAGGAGGAATGTTAAAAATGAATACTTCATTTTCTAAGTATGTTAAAACAATGCAAATGGGAGGCCTCAATCTACGGACAGCTGGTTTAGATTAGAGAGCTCACCAACTGGCTAGACTCCTCACAACACTCCTAAGAAGCCTGCCAGATGAAAAATAAAATAAATAAAATAAAAGCAAAGCAAAGGAAAGGAAAGGAAAGGAAACACTTCCTGAGAAGTGTACTGCAGGACTGGCACAATGGGCATGAGCAAAAAGCCTTCTATCAAGATCTTTTGGAGAGATCTGCAAATACTGAGATGTTCCTCTAGATGTTCCTCTAGAGCCTGACTACCTGGGAATTCTGGAACTGTAGCCTCAGCATATTTGGAGGGCATCAGGTTGTGGAAGACTGCTTGAGAATGACCTCACTTGAGGCTCATCCTCTTATTTAGTGTCCATTTCTTGCCAATAGCATATATGGAAAATAGCTTCATCCAACTGACACATAAGAAGGTCAACTTTGTCAATTGCCTCTTCGAGGATTAGATATAACTACTGTATTTTATTCAAAATATCCAACAAATTAAAATGTTTGAGGAATTTTTATATCCTAAATGTTGGCATTTCCATTTTGGATTCCTTCTCTCATGTGACCCCTTTGCCAAAGAACATATTGAGATGAAAGCGTCACTTTGCCACGATGGAGGGACATTAGCATTTCCTTGAAGGATTAATATCACATTAGGACTACTGTATCTGTATTGCTAAAATATATCCAGTATATGGTGGCCAGGGGTTTTCTGTGTCTCTTTGCTGCCACCTAGTGGTTAGGGTCAGGGGACGCGGTGGCGCAGCGGCTTAATGATGCTGAAAGTTGCTAGCCAGAAATGGTTGAGGCTTCAGCGGTTCGAGTCCAGCCTTCGCGTTAGCAGGGTGAGCTCCTGTTTCCTCCCCCGCTCCCGTCAACCCA